AGAGTGGCAGGGAGAGGGAGAAGCAGGCTCTCCGCTGAGCAGGGAGCCCGACATGGGGCTTGAGCCCAGAACCCAATCCATGCTGTATCTTGTTTGTGAATCTGAATTTCCTTCTGCTTTAAGGTTGAACAGTATTTCATTGTATGTGTATGGCACATTTTCTTTATCCATTTATTCTCTCTATCCATTCATCTGTTCATAAACCATGAGTTGTTTCTGCCTCTTTTGGCTGTTGTGAATAATTGCTACTATGGGCACGAGTGTACAAATATTTCTTCTAACACCTTACTTGCAAAGAAGATTTCTTCAGCACCTGGCTTTCCAATTATTTTTGCATATATCCCCAAGAAGTAGAATTGCTGGACCATAAGGTAATACGGTCATTTTTTTGAGGAACTGTTTTCCATAGTGTTGGCACCATTTTATGTTACTGCTGTGTGTGAGGTGTCCAGTTTCTCCTCAGCCTGTTTTTGTGTCTAATAAGCCCCCTTCCCTCATTGTGATAAAGTCATCCGTTCTTTTCAGATAGGTGTTAGAATCTAAGAAAAATGTAATACGTGGAGTGAAGGTTGGATATAATCACCAGCTCTACTTTTTTGGGGTGGGGGGTAAGATTTATTTGAGAGTGAGCACAAGTGAGGGTAGGGAGAGAGGGTCACGCAGATTGCCCCCCACCCAGAGCTGGGAGTCTGAGGCAGGCCAGTCCCAGGACCCCGAGATACAGTCAGATACTTAACGGACTGAGCCCCTGTACCTTGTTTCCAGCAGAAAAACTCCTACAGTTGAAGTTACAGTCGAACGAGTACTTGAAAAGCAGTGGGACCGTATTTTAGATCCCAGCTATGGGTGGATGCACTTTGTGTCTGAGTGACCATTTGTAGTTTGGGGGAACGTCTGAAATCATACGTCTGTCTCAGTACATTTCTGTGATCAGCACAGACTACGTTCCATGAAAATCTGGGTGTTGACCCAAGAAGCTGGAGCCCCGCCCCACCCCTTCCTCAAAGCCTGCAGATATCCCTACCCAGCGCCTTTCTTGGTGTCGCCAGACAATTTCCCTGAGGTCAGGAATGGAGACTCTTGGCGACCCTCTGGCTCCATCAGAACTACATTACCCGGAAGGCAGTGCGCTGTGCGTCCCCTTTACTGGGCCAATGAGGGCTCAAGGAGAGGCACTTCCGTCCCGAGGACGGCATCTGGGCGGGCCTTCCGACGTTGGCCTCCGCGACATCTCGTAAACCTGGTTCTGTCCTGCGGTCGGAAGCCTAGGCTTGCCGGGCGGGCCTGAGGTAACGGGAGGAGAGACGGGCTGCGCCGGTTGCTCCGAGGCAACGTAGCTGTCGCCGGGGCTGAAGGCTGAGGTGCCACGCCCCTTCCCGCCGCCGCCGTGGCGGTTCCAGTCCAGGTGAGTGCTGCGCTTCTCGGGGCCCTGACCCAGCCCAGGCTGCGTTAGAATTTCGTACTTTTGTTCTTGGGGCCGCCGTTTGCCACGTCTTCCAGATGTTGAGGTAAGACCTGCCTGAGGGACCCGCGCGGACTGGACGTGCGCCGTTAGGTGACCAGCCGCAGTCACTCTGGCGTCGTCGCTGCGCCCCGTGAAGAGCCGGTCGGTGGGTTTCACCGCGCGTCCTGTTGGGTCGGCCGGGCGGTAGCGAGAGCGCTGCGGGGCGGGCCGGCTGGGCTGCCGCGGGGCCAGTTCGGCGCTCGCTCCTGGCCCCGCGCGCCGCTCTGCTGCTGGGCTCGCGGGCGGGAGCGGGCGGTGGGGCCGAGGGCCGCGCTGCCGGCCTGGCCGCTCGCTGCCCGGGAGCGCTCGCGCGGGCGCGGCGCAGAAATGGGCTGTAGGGAGCGCCGGAGCCCGCAGTGTGGGTCCCCGTGGGCGCGTTTCCAGGAAGCGTCTGTGGCCGTCGTGGAGGTGGAGTAGTTTCCGCGCGTCTTGAAACGCTCCGAAAGGACCGCTGTGCGTCACGTCACGGGAGTACGGTGCCCTCCGGCTCCTGCGTCTGCCCGTTTCTCCGCGCCGCTGTGTGCTGTGACCGCGGGCGTGCGGGGAGTCCTGCTCGCGGGCGAGCGTCGCTGCTCCGGCCGCGCGTGCGGGTCCGCGAGGGCACCGCGGTCCAGCGCACTTGGGAAGGCTGGATTCCCGCAGGGAGTCCACGTGCGAATTCACAGATCTCGCGAAACTGGCTTTCGAGATGTTTCGAGTCTGCATACCTGCAGCCGCTCACAGTATCCACGAATCTCCACCGTTCTGCGGGCGCCGCGCAGCAGCCCCTTCTGGGGCCAGCCTTGCGAAGTTTTGCTTTGATGATTACCTTGACATTTGCATTTTTAAAAAGTGCTTGCTGGAATTGTTTACAGACACGATTTCAGTTTGTTCGATATTAAGATTTTAGATAATTTATTGTAAAAAGTATGGAGGATTCAAGAATTTGTGTAATTTTTGCTCAACTCTGTGGCTTGTCATTTCAGTATTTGTAATCGCAGGAGCCCTTCATTGTAATGTGCTGGGATTCTTTACTGCGATGCTTTGGGTTTGAGAAATCTGTTCTTTAATTAACTCATAAGAAGGGCGCCTGGGTAGCTCAGTGGGTTGAGCCTCTGCCTTCGGCTCAGATCATGATCTCAGGGTCCTGGAATCGAGCCCCGCATTGGGCTCTTTGCTCGGCAGCGAGCCTGCTTCCCCCTCCCTCTCTGCCTGCCTCTCTGCCTACTTGTGATCTGTCAAATAAATAACATCTTTAATAAAATAAAATAAAATAAAGAATTAATTCCTATTCTCCTGAAACTTTTCCGTCACAGAGCACTTTATAAGCTGCAGTTTTAATGCTCTGTACCACCACTGAGGCATCAAGACCCATGGGTGCCCCACTTTGAGCTCTAGTTTTTTCAACCCAATTCTGTGCCAGTTTTTTGGAACAATTACTCTTGCATGCTAAAGTGATGTTTAATGTTTATTCTTACTTATGTAACCTTGTCACTTTAGAAAGAACTTCGTATGTTCTAAAATACTTGGCATACTCAGGTATTTTAGCAAAAATTTGTAAACCTTTTATATTTGCAGTAACACAAAGCATGCATTTTTTTCAAAGATTTTATTTTATTTGACAAAGATCACAAGTAGGCAGAGAAGCAGGCAGAGAGAGAGGGGAAGCAGGCTCCCCGCTGAGCAGAGAGCCCCATGCGGGGCTGGATCCCAGGACCCTGGGATCACGACCTGAGCCGAAGGCAGAGGCCTTAACCCACTGAGCCACCCAGGCGCCCCAAAGCATGCATTTTTTTTTTTAAAGATTTTATTTATTTATTTGACAGAGAGATCACAAGCAGAAAGGGAGGCAGGCAGAGAGAGGAGGAAGCAGCCTCTCCGCAGAGCAGAGAGCCCGATGTGGGGCTCGATCCCAGGACGCTGGGATCATGACCTGAGCCGAAGGCAGAGGCTTTAACCCACTGAGCCACCCAGGCGCCCCCAAAGCATGCATTTTTATGATGAAATACAGGTTGTTCCTGTTTTGTTGCTTCTATCTCTTTCTCTTTTTTTTCTTTCTTTGAATATTTCCTCCCATCCTGGCATCCTTTGTTAAAAAGATTTATGTATTTATTTACTTACTTGTTTTAGAGAGTGTGAAGTGGGGGGAGAGGGGCGGAGGAGGGAGAGAGGGGAAGAATCCCAAGCAGCCTCACGTGGGACTGATATCACAGCCCGGACATCATGACCTGAGCTGAAACCAAGAGTCAGATGCTTAATGGATTGAGCCACACAGGTGCCCCCTGGCATCCTTTAATAACATGTATTAAGTAAAGGTTTTGGCTTTGGTTGTTGTGAATCTTTTAGTAGTGTTGGGTTTCAGTTTTCTGGCTCCAGTTTGTTATGATATCTTTTCTCCACATTGTTTTGGGTACTCCTTTTTATGGATATTGTCAAGATTTGTCTTTTCTCTTTAATTTTACCTTTTATATATATTTTCTTTGGCTTTTTTTTTTTTTTTAGATTCTTTGTGTATAATGATGCAGTTTTCTTAAGTTGTGATTAAGATTTATTAAAATTACTGTACTTAACTGTTTTCACTTCCTGATCAATCTTTGTGCCATGTTACTAATTTTATCTTTGTGAACACACACTTGAAATTACCGTAAACTTTTATACTCTACACCCACAAGATTTTTGCTTTTTAAGTGGTTATATTCCTTCATCATTCTCTGGTACCACTACAAGAGAAAACGATGATAGGATACTTCAGGTAAGCTACTTTGCTAACATAGACAGAAGTTTAATCATTGTAAGTATAGAAAAAAATACCTCAAAGTAAATAACTTTACATAATGAGGATGGACCAAAGGTTAGGTCCTAGCTTGTTTGCTTTCTCTGAGGCTGAAACTGAAATGCAGCTGCGCTGAACTGCAGGAGGCCAAGGCGCCTTTGCTGGAGCCCCGGCAACAACCTCTGCGGAGAGATTAGTTTTGAGGCACAATCCAGACTCTAGGAGTGTGGTTTAGTTGTCTGCCCTGGGAGAGAGTATATTCGCAATATTCTTCTGCGCATTTATTGAAAAACTTGGAAAAGATTAAGGAGTCACATATCTAAACAGTTATTAGGGCCAACCCGAAAGTATAGGAAGAGAGGAACGCATTTTTGGCACAAGAAGAATCAGAATCATAAGGAATAAAACAGGAGGGTCAGAAGCACACCCACACATAAACATGGACTTACCTTATCCCTTATTCTTGCTGCTCATTCACCTAAGGGACGTTACCCAAACACAACCCAACCCCAACAGGCTCTGTACTCCCTTTTCCCACTTTGGAAGGACATGCCTGAGAATGCACACATGCTTTTGGCATAACCATAACACGTTCTACTCTCTGGTATAAATACTTTCTTTATCCTTTTCAGCTTTCATCTTTACCTGAAATTATTAAGTGTTTCATATTTCTGTGTCCCTGATGGGAATTAAACTAACATGGCCCTGCTCTTCCTGCAGGTTCTGCTTTCAGCAGACGCACTTATGGACCCTGCACCGGTGAGTGTCAGGTGTCCTGGAACTCTTGCTGCCACTCGTCCTGCCTTTGGTGTCTAGAGACTCTAGATAAGCCTTTAAGCCCACGTCGGAGGTTATATGGAGAGAGAGTCCCACTTTTGGCAAGCAGCGGGGTGAGATGTGAAAGGTTGTCTCAGGTTTCAGTATTGATGGGAGTGTTCTAGGTCTCATAGGTTGCTGCTATGTCTGCTGAGAACAGAGGGCAAGGAGCTGAGTCAGAGTAGCAGCCACACAATTCTGGAGCAGAGGAGATAAAATCTGGCTCAGGTCTTTGGAAGCTGCCCTTGGTGATAGAATATGCCACAGCCCGGGAAAGATCATTACTAAGGCTGGTACAGTGGTAGGTCTGGAAGTAGGAGAAATATTTGGCTTCTGGATTTGTCTTTTGGGAGTCTTCTGTTCTTAAGATTTATTTATTTGAGAGAATGAGAGAACACACAAGGAGGGGGAGAAATAGACTTCACTGATCTCAGGACCCTGAGATCATGACCTGAGCTGAAGGCCAGTGCCTAACTGATGAAGCCACCCAGTTGCCCCTGGATTTGTTTAAAGATTTATTTGTGAGAGAGAGAGTGTACACGCCAGAAAGGGCAGGGTCAAAGGGAGAAGCAGACTCCCCCTTGAGCAGGGAGCCTGATGCTGTGCTCGATCCTGGGACGTGTGGGTCATGACCTGTGCTGAAGGCAGATGCCTAATTGGCTGAGTTACCCAGGTGCCCCTGGATTTGTGTTTTTTTTTTTTTTTTAATTTTATTTATTTATTTGACAGAGATCACAAGTAGGCAGATAGGCAGGCAGAGAGAGAAGGGGAAGCAGGCTCCCTGCTGAGCAGAGAGCCTAATGTGGGGCTCGATCCCAGGATCCTGAATCATGACCTGAGCTGAAGGCAGAGGCTTTAACCCACTGAGCCACCCAGGTGCCCCTGGATTTTTTAAAGTAGGGCTGTCCAGGTCACAGATGACTCCATATTTTTGGTGAGAATATCAAGGAATTAGGTTTTGGCCATGTTGAGTCTCTGATAATTCAGAGACTCCCAAGTATGGGGGACAAATGGACAGCTGGGCATATAGTCCTCAAGACGTTCACACTGTGGCATGTGGTGTATCCCAAAATAGAACTCAGGATCTGATACAGGAGGAGACATGTTCAGGTTATGGCATTGCCACTGGGGGACAAGGAAGGAGAGCTGTGGAGGGTAGATGGCACAGAGATGACCAGACAGAGTAGCTGTAGCTGTAAACAGAAATGTAGAGGGAGGTAGGGAGAGGGGAAAGTCCAGCAGGTAACCAGATTTTCATGGGCGTGAATGAGACCAGAGCAATAATGGAGGTGAGTTGGTAAAGTCACACTGGTGCTTAGTCATCCTTCTGTGTACTCACTCAACCAGGTTTTTGTGGTGGTTCTCGCAGGATCTCTTCAAGATCAGCTCACATAAAGTGTTGTTAGGACATATATACCTGGTGCAGTGGCACAGAGACATAAAATGTGCAGTACAGAGGCGGAGTGTGACCAAGGTTACTGAGATCTGGGTGAGATCTGTGTGTGGTCTAAGCCAGGAACAAGGTCAGGTGGAGAAGCCCCTTCTGCGTGGGGCCATGGGAGGTTGGCATCTATTATTGCACATGGCAGGAGCTTCCTAGATGCCACGCACTGATAAGAGTCAGTGGCTCTGGTCATGATCTCAAGCCCCATGTCGGGCTCTCTGCTCAAGTGGGGAGCCTGTTCCCTCTGTCAAATGGATAAATAGGGTCTTTAAAAAAAAAAAAAGTCACTTTTATGGGCCAAGTAGTGGTGGGGATCAAACGTACCATGGAGGTGCCAGATCTGGTGAGTAGGAGTCTGAGAAAATGCTGGGCCCAGCATGGTTATGTGTGGGAGGCAAGATCCTGGGGAGTGTTGGATGTCTTGGAGGAGAGGCATGGGGGTCCTGCCTCTCAGGCAGCATCTGACCACCTGCCTCTTTGTTCCTCTGGGGTACCAGTGCTTAGGCTGGAGAACTAGGGCAGATAATGAGCAGGGGAGGGAGGGACGGGAGTGAATGTGGGCTGAGAGAGACTGCGTCTGGTTATAACTATCGTTCCTCCTCACAGAGCTCTGTGACCTTTGAGGACGTGGCTGTGTACTTTTCCCAGGAGGAGTGGAGGTTTCTTAACAAGGCTCAGAGACACTTGTACCGCGATGTGATGCTGGAGGTCTTTGCGCTTGTTTCCTCACTGGGTAAGGCCCCTCCCCCCAACCCCAAGGTCCAGGGGCTGAGGCTGGGGCACACATACCGCACCTCCTCTCACAAATTGCTCCAACACTCCTTGGTCTGAAGCTCTTTGAGGAAAGGTTTCCATGGTACTTTTGTTTCCTGACGTGGTTTTGGGGTTGGTTGCCTTGGACCCATCCTGTCTTTCCCTTAAAGGCCTGCATCTTCTAGATGCCATGTTGTCCATCTGGAGCTGGGAGAGCACCGCATACATGACAAAGTGGACATGATTCCAGATGGGGGAGGACGTGATCTGTAGCTGGGAATCCTACCAGGAATATGTCATGTCCCAGGCTCAACAGTGTTTGGTGCCAAGGTCAGAGGCTCCTCCCCTTTCTTGACATTTTGCCCATTTGTCATTTTTCCTCTCAGAAGAGAACTGGTAGTAGATCCTCCCCGACCCCCCAGGCTCTGCAGCACCAGCCTACACTTCATGTGTCCTGCGGGCTTATGTACCACCGAACCCTTCCACTAATGCTGGAGCACGGGTGTACAAGGCTCTGGCACGAACACCTTTTCACAGAAGGGAGTTGTGGACACAGCCCCTCCTCCCCGTGGTACACCCCATCTGTGTGTCTTGGCCATGGTGAGACCTCCCTGTGACACAGCCCTGTCCTTCAAACTACCTCCTCCCTGCCCTGCTCCCCTGGTGTTGCTCGTTCCACTGTCAGATGCCCATTTGGGGTGGGCTGGCTTCTTCCTCCCAGAGCTCCTCATTGTTCTCTGCTTACAGGTGGCGGCCGGGGAGCACTGGAGGCGGCGGCACCCTCTGAGCAGAACATGTCTGGAGGAGGGTCACAGAAGGCCTACACCCAGGACTGTAGCCTGGACTCAGAAGGTGATTTGCAGCCAGCTGAGATGCTGGGTACAAACCCTGGCCAGACCGCCTGTGGGATGCAGGGGGAAGTTCACCAGCATCCAAAGCAGCACAGTGGGGGGCAGCCCCTTGGAAGGAACGTGCAAAGGTGTGCCACCCACACGTCAGGGAAGCCCTTCCCTGCTAGCTCAGGCCTTCTCCAACACCAGCTCCTTCACAGCCAGGAGACACCCCCTAAGGCCACCGACTGCATGGAGTCTTTTGACAGTGGACAAAAGGACTACCAGTGCAGTGACTGCGGGAAAGCGTTCTGTCGCAAATACAGACTTGCTCAGCACCGGAGGGTGCACACCGGAGAGCGGCCTTACGAGTGTGCTGAGTGTGGGAAAACCTTCAGCTACAAACACATACTTGTCCAGCACCAGAGAGTGCACACCGGGGAGCGGCCTTACGAGTGCAGCGAGTGCGGCAAAGCCTTCAGTAACAAACCCACGCTGGTGCGCCACCAGAGGATTCACACTGGAGAGCGGCCTTATGAATGCAGCCACTGTGGGAAGTTCTTCAGCCAGAGCTCCAGCCTTAGTGAACACGAGAGAATTCACACTGGGGCGCGGCCTTACAAATGTGGGGAGTGTGGAAAATTCTTCACCTCCAACTCCAACCTAATTAAACACCGGAGAGTGCACACGGGAACAAGGCCTTATGAGTGCAGTGAGTGTGGGAAATTCTTCAACCAAAGTCCCAGCCTCATCAAGCACCAGAGAATTCACACTGGTGAAAAGCCTTATGAATGTAGTGACTGTGGGAAACTCTTCAGCCAAAGCTCCACCCTCATCAAGCACCAGAGAGTTCACAGTGGAGTAAGACCTTACAAGTGCAGCGACTGTGGGAAACTCTTCAGCCAAAGTTTTGGCCTCACTCAACACCAGAGAGTTCATAGCGCAGAAAAACCCTATGAGTGCAGTGGAGGCGGACAATTCTCTAGCTCGAGCACACAACTAACTCAGCACTGCAAAGTTCACACGGCAGAAAGTCGTGAGTGCGGCAGCTGTGACGAAGTCTTCAGCCACAAGTCTGCTCTGATGCACCACCAGCAAGTGCACAGCCCAGCCCACCCTTTCCAGTGCACCGAATGTGGCAAAGCCTTCGGCCGGAGGTCTAACCTCATTCAACACCACAAAGTTCATCTAGGAGAAAGGCCTTACAACGCAGGTGGAGAATGAGCCGGGCTGTTTAACACGGCAGCGTGCGGTGTCCTGGGCGGTGATGCTGTTCCCCAGCTTTGTAGGCATTAGCAGGGGTAGATAGATGGTATCATGGCACCGAATGTCCAGGTCTTTTTGCCCTTCCTCCCCCCCCCTCCCCCCCTCCCAGGACAAGTGACTAATCTTGTAATCCAAATGTCAGGGTTTTCTGTGGGTCTAGAGGTTTCCCTCAGAGGACAGTTGTATTTTTTGGATCAGCCTCTTTTCATAGTGGAGGACACATAATGACCCTCTTCGGTATTACTGGTCTCCCTGGGATCGTGACTGGTTTATAGGAAGGTGCAGAAATTCTGAGGCCTTTTAGAGCCAACTCCTCCAGTTCAAAAGCAGAACTAGAACTCCAGACATGAAGGGAGAGGAGTGTGATTTTTGTGACCCGTAGATATTAGCTCGCCCCTCTCCAGGGGAACTGCAGGCCGGAGGTGCAGCGAGCCACACCTGCAGCGTACTTAAAATGTACTTTTCATGAGGCTGGTTCAGACGGGGCTACGCACTAAACAGAGATGCAGCAGTTGGTAACTGCCCTCAGTATTTTTGTCTTCTTTTGACAGAGGAGGAGGAAAAGTGGGGGTGGGAAAGGGAGGCAGGCTTCCCACCAGGACCCCACAAGTCATGAGTCAAGATCTGAGGTAAAGGCAGGTGCATAAGGATAGAGCCACCCACGTGTCCCAGTATTTTCATCTTGTAACATCGGTGGCATTGAATAGGGGACTTTTTAAAAACCTGCCGAGATGACACACTAATTATTAGTTCATCCTTTCCCCTCAACAAGGGGGTTTCTGGTTTGCAGAGTGGGGGCTGTCACATAAGCTGACCATGAACACACAACCCCTCTCATAGAATGTGTCTTGCTGTGCTTGGCAGCGCAGAAGCTGGCAGCTCTAATAATGCATTGGTCACACCAGGTCTGTCTTCACGAAGTTGAAATGGTCACATTTATTCAAGTCTTTAAAAAATTACGCCTTTCCCTTACCAAGTCGCTCACTTTGCTACCTGTAAGCTCTCCGAGTGCTAATGAAGGGGGGGTGTGTTGGAACGAACTCTGCTTGTGCAATAAAAATAAACCACTGGTGGGGCACCTGGGTGGCTCAGTGGGTTAAAGCCTCTGCCTTTGGCTCAGGTCATGATCTCAGGATTCTGAGATCGAGCCCCGCATCGGGTTCTCTGCTCGGCAGGGAGCCTGCTTCCTCCTCTCTCTCTCTCTCTGCCTGCCTCTCTGCCTACTTGTGATCTCTGTCAAGTAAATAAATAAAATCTTTAAAAAAAAAAAATGAAGAAATATTAGATAATATATTAAAAAAAAAATCACTGGCTGTTTTCAGTTGTCTTCACAATATGGCTAGCCTTCCTTTTAAGGTTTTCTAGTATTTACCAATTTCCAGCTGTGGAACAGAACAAGGTTTGACTTAAAACTCCTTGGATCCACTTCAGAAGAACCCTCTTGGCAGCCTTTCTAGTTAATCACTGAACGGCAGGGAGTGGTCCATGAGGGATTCCCGAAATAATGTGCCTTTAAAAAAAAAATACCCCACTAAACTAAAATGGAAACCACCCCCCCCTACAATGGGGCACATACACTTTCCAACTTCCTTCCACCTTTTGTGGAGGTGGGGGGGTGTTTGGTTTGTTTTCCGGGCACACTTCTGGTCTCCAGAAAAAGCCTAAGGGACCCCACAAATGTTTATTTCTCACAGCAAAAAAGCAAATGAGATCTTGGCACCAGCGTCCACCCCCAAGAACATCTGGGGCCAAGGCTGGAGGTCCACACAGAGAGCCCGGGACAGCGGTGGGACACGGGGGTGCAAAGGCAAGGAGGTCAAGGGCACGGGTAGTACGAGAACCAGCCAGGGCCAGGTAGCTGAGAATCAACCACTGGGGGGGGGGGGTGCAAGGAAACCCCACATCCTCAACAGAGGCACCAACCACACACCTGGAGTGGGGACAACCTTACCATGGGGCATGGAAGACAAGTGGGGGGGGAGCTTAACACACCTCACAGGAGCACACACTCCAGAGGTGGCAGGGGACAACGCGTGTTGTGAGGGCATGGAGCCCCTCTTACCGCGCCTGCACCCAAGTGCGGTCATGGGGCACCACCCCCGTGGAACTAATGACCCCAAGCTTCAATGCTTCACGTTTAGGAGCCAGTGGTTCCCCTCCCACTGGGGACCCCTGCCTCTGTGAGTGACAGCTTCACACTCATGCATGCTCCAGAACACAGACTGTTCTCCCCAGCTGCTGCCTTATCACAGGACACCCGGTCACAGCTGCGATAGGATCCTCCTCTTCTCAGCCCCAGTGTCCCTTTTCTGGAAGCTACTCGACAGGCGCTTTCCCTCCCAGAACACCGCCGTCCGTGGGGACCCGACTGTGGGATTCACGGCCAGCCAGGGACGAGGTCCTACGGTCCTGCCCTTCAGGGCCAGCAAGGACCCCTACACCAGCTGCAACAGCAAAGCACGAGGGGACGGGCCACAGCCGACCTCGACCAGGTCCTCGTCCACACCCCCACCCCCAGCATAGGGCTCAGACTCTACCGTGACGGTGTGAGACCGTGTGCGGAGAGTGGGAGCCCCCTCCCCCCAGGCTGCCCCAGGGGCCGCATGGACACCAGATCACACCCTTCCACGCCAGCCTCTCGCAGGGACCAAGGTCAGGCCCAGGCCCTGCCCCACGGGAGCAGCACGCCCCCGGCTCAGAAAGGGGTAGACACGACCCGACCCACGTGTGGCGGGCCACACGTCCCTGACCGCACACATGGCCAGCGACAGAGCCACAGTGCAGCCCAGAAGCGAGATCCTGGAGCATGGCCCCAGGTCGCAGCAAGGCCAGAGGGCACGAGACCATGGGACTTGTAAGGGCCTGCCCCTCCCAGAGGAACTGACTTGTGGACCGGACCCGGATGTAGGGGTGCGGCAGGCCGGGTGGAGACGTCCAATCGGTGCGGCGCACGTATATCCACTGGGGTGAATTGGGACTCAATTGGCCGCCTGTGTAGGGGCGGGGCTCAACCACCCCCATAAAGGTTGGTCTGCGAGGCTGGCAAAGGGGAGAAGAAGGAGCTGTCAAAAGAGTCGGTGGGAGCGGGAGCAGCAGCAGCAGCAGCAGCAGCAGAAGAAGAGGAGTCGGCGGGAGCAGAAGAGCTCTAACAGCTCTTATAAGAGCCCCCGGCGGCCCCGAGACACCAGCGGTCCCGACGCCTGTGGCCCCGACACACCAGCGGTCCGCTGCCAGCAGCCCTGTCCATACACCGCGACCCTCGGCAGCGGCGCCGCGGGGAACGGCCTAGAATCCAGCAACCTCGCCGCGAACCCTGAGCTGCTGCCTCACCAGAGCTGTGTCATTCTGGGGAGCGGCTTCGTCTGGGAAGAGGCCTCCTTGGTGAGCGGCCCTGGGGGAGCAGCATCATCAGGGAAGAGGCTCCCTCCAGAGCAGCCTCGCTGGAGCAGCCTTGTCCGGGGAGCAGCCCTGTCCAGGGAGCGACCTCATTAGCAGCAGCCTTGACTGGGGAGTGGCCTTGTCCGGAGCAGTGGCCTCCTCTGGGGAGCAGCCTTGTCAGAGTGGTGTCATGGGGAGCAGAGTCTGTGTCAGCGGTGTTGTCCTCCTTGTCATCACCTCTTTGTGATTGGGAGCAGCCTTGTCCCGGGAGCGGCTTCCTCCAGAGTGGCCTCTTCTTGGGAGCGGCCCTGTCCGGGGAGCGACCTCATCAGCAGCGGCCTTCTTGGGAGTGGCCTCTTCTTGGGAGCGGCTCCAACCGGGGAGCGGCCTCGTCTGCGGAGCAGCCTCGTCCGGAGCGGCCTTCTTGGGAGTGACCTTGTCGGAATCATCATCCTCGTCTTTTCGTAAGAACAGCCCTGACTGGTCAGTTTGATTTTTGACGCTTGGAGTGAAATAAAGCTTTGTTTGATTTTTGCTTTATATCAGTCTCGTTCCTTTGATCACGGACCCTAACAACACGGTTCCCCACAGGGAAGGCCCTCCTCAGCTCCCGGAGACTCCACGCGGAAAAGCGGCCTCTCCCAACGGCGTGGGCCAAGCGCCTATGCAGCACGAAAGGGGAGCAGCAGGGGTGACAATGCCCAGGGGCGACTGGCCTGCTCTCCAACCACCAATCAGGTCCCGGGAGACCCAACCACGTGGGCTGTGCACCCCAGATGCCGGTCAGCACACAGCCCTTCCGGGCTCAGGACCCGACTGGGAAACCGCACAGCTTCAGTGCTCATCCGTGCGCCCTGCAGACCCCAGACAGACCCCGCAGTCCCACAACCGCGAAAACCGCCCAACACTCCTCTCACAGCGCCGCCACCGTTAACCGGCTGCACCTGCGCAAGCCCTCGCACGCGGCGTCCTCCCCACGTGGGCACAGGCTTCAGCTCACGGACGCGGGAGGGGGCTCCGGGGCCACTGGGAACAGGCACCCGGGGGCGGACCGGGGAGCGCAAAGACCACTGCAGGCAAGACAACACGCGCTAAGCCGGAGACCCCGGCCCAAGCACGTCCGCGCGGAAGAGCGAGGCGGCCCAGCTCCGCACCCCTGCCCGCGTACCGTGGGGCGGGGGGGAGAAGGGGGGCAGTAGTGCCCCGCGCCGCGAACACTCGCCTCCCGTTGGCCTCAAGCTGGGCCTGGGGCGAAGAGCGCACGCAGCACAGCGACCGGCTCAACAGTCCTAACGGGAACCCACCCGCAGGGCGACCACCGCGGGCCCCCCACGGCTCCCCCGCCGGAAACGGCCGCTCGTGTAGACGCTGCTCCCCATCCGCCCTAGCACCAACAACGCTGGGGGGCCGAGCAGGCTTGTGGCCGCCGCTCCCTGCGCCACAAGGATGTCACACGCCCCAGGATGCGTCCCCCGCGTCCAAGCGCACGGAAAACCCGAGTGAACAAGCCCCAACAGGAGTACCCGGTCTCCAGCTCAGCGCTCCCATGCGCGCTCCGAGACGTAGCGGCTTCCACGGGT